TGATGATGTTTGCAGCCATATATAACGAGACCAATTTATCGTCCATACCATTTACCAAGTTGATACTCACTGAATCGTGTCCCAGTGTTTTAGACAATATGACCAATGGACGGTGGCATCAAAATCCCATGACTCGTTCTCAGAAGATGGATATTAATAAATTCTTAATTGATGCTGCGACTAAAAATAAACTTCCGATCACGTACCAGCGGGCTGATAAAAATGTGGCAACGTGACTTTCGATCACAGACTTTATTTTCGCGCCATTTGTGACAGAGATGGCGCCACTCCGTGTTGCTATAACAACCAGTGTGTGAACAGAACAGTAGAACAATGCCGCTGTCCGAACTGTTATGATTTGAGGGACGTCATCACACCGGAATATGCTGATTGGATCCCAACCGATCCTCGGTGTGCAGTGAAGAAACTTGATTATAAAGATGCATGTGAACTACTTTCCGGTTACACTTTGACTTTCCTGGGGGATTCCATAATCAGACAAATATATACCGCCTTTCTTATCTACATCCGAAATAATTATATAGATGGCGCTATCCAATCTACGAGAAGAGGTCAGTAGCTCGTTTTTCAATATCGTAATTAAAAGTTAATTCCCTTTGAATATTTTTACTACAAATTACTTCCCTTGCTTCCCTTGGGATTCAAAATTCATTCAAAATGTCAATATTTAAAGGAATTGTGAAGAAGTTTTCTAATTTTTTATGTGTATCTGTACACTGATAGCATCAATTTACACCATTTCAATTTTCAATCAGACGTCTACAGTGCTTGTTAATCTACAAAATATAAGCGCTGATGACTTCAATATCGCAAAAACTATTTATTATATCTAATGGCTTGTGAAAATTAGTTTTATTGGAATTGCAAGAATCACAGACGCCGCTGTCTTTACGGTGGGACAAACTGGGGAACCGTGCTCCAGTCAGTGCATATTAAAGGGACATTCCGCTTTTTTGTAAAAAGTTTTCATAATCAAAAACGTTGTAAATCATACCTGAAAATACTTCTAAAGTATGTATGTATCAACTTGATCAAACTGAATTTGTTTTAAAAGGGTTAATTAAAAACTGGAGTACTAATTGTTAATTAAGCAGTTTGACCTAGTTTCAGTGTTTGGCTTTATAATGGCTTGATATTATTAGTTAAAATCTTTAGAATACGTAGGAGATATATTTCTCTACAATTAGGCGTTTATTTTACTTAAATGCGTACAGTAGTTTTTTAACAGCTTTCAAAAAACATAACAAACTTAAAAACCTTACATAATGTTTTTAAATATTTTTGGTGTTTAAAAATTAACGGCTAGATTGTTATTAGTTTAAACTTTTAGATACGTTAAAGGGCACATTTCTCTACATTTTGGTGTATAGTTTACACGAATTTTAGCAAAAACAAAATACTACCTAGAAAAAAGACGGAATGTCCCTTTAAATACTACCTTTATTTAAGTTTTTCAATATTGACCAATCAGAGTATATATATATCAATCAGAGTATATATATATCAATCAGAGTATATATATACCAATCAGAGTATATATATATATTAATCAGAGTATATATATATAAATCAGAGTATATATATATCAATCAGAGTATATATATATATATATTAATCAGAGAGAGATCTTACCTAGTACCATGACTATACAGAATCCCTATATATATATATCAATATAGCCACAAAACTCAGAAATAAGTGAATAAACGCTTAAAAATCAGTAAGCGTATTGAGTGTTTTTCAATTAATTACTTAGTTTTATGAATTATTACTTAGTTTAATGAATTATTGCTTAGTTTAATGAATTATTACTTAGTTTAATGAATTATTACTTAGTTTAATGAATTATTACTTAGTTTAATGAATTATTACTTAGTTTAATGAATTATTACTTAGTTTAATGAATTATTACTTAGTTTTATGAATTATTACTTAGTTTAATGAATTATTACTTAGTTTTATGAACAATTACTTAGTTTAATGAATTATTACTTAGTTTAATGAATTATTACTTAGTTTTTTGAATTATTACTTAGTTATATTATATACTTCTGTTCTGACAGTTTTTCACTCATTGCACACTGCATGGCTTGTCTACGGGATATAAAACTCCATTTCGCTTCATTTCAGATATCCAATATAATTGTTTGAGGTACAGAATGTTTGGTGAAGATTTATGCAGAACAAACCTGGACCGTAATGCCAAGGCTTGCGACGGAAAACTCCAGTTGAGGTACCAAAGAATAGCAGATAAAAGCAAGAACCATAAACAAGTCATGTTAGACGTCATGAAAATAATTCCACACGAAAAATCGCTGCTAATTTTCGGGAGTGGTGGGGGAATCTCGGACTTTAATCCCGGCCATCACATTGAGACTTTTCTCAAACCGGTAATGGATTTGTATAAATCGTTGAAGAAGCCGTACCGTTTACTCTGGATCCAGCCATCCTATTATAATATCATTAAAAAACCTTTCCATCGTCAGACCAACGACCACGTTCAGAGCTATATCGACGGTGTTGTACCTTATTTGAAATCCCAAAGAGTTCCTATAATGAATCTTAGAGACATAACAAAGGGAATCTTAAGTCACGACGGACTACACTCGTCTCTAGGCATGAATTTGTGGAAATCTCATATCTTGATGAATTATATACAAGAGTTATACGACAAAAGAGAATGGTGAAGATCTATACCTAATGGGAACGACACGGTGAAAACCTATACCAAACCATCGATGGAACGGTACAGTGAAAACCTATACCTAACAGGAACGGCACGGTGAATACCTATACCCAACCATCGGTAGAACGGCACGGTGGAGGCCTGTACCTAACCATCGGTAGAACGGTACAGTGAAAACCGTTACCTAACCATCAGTGGAACGGTACAGTGAAAACCTATACCTAACCATCGGTAGAACGGTACAGTGAAAACCTATACCAAACCGGCGATGGAACGGTACAGTGAAAACCTATACCAAACCGGCGGTGGAACGGTACAGTGAAAACCTTTACCAAACCGGCGGTGGAACGGTACAGTGAAAACCTTACCGGCGGTGGAACGGTACAGTGAAAACTTAACCGGCGGTGGAACGGTGATGTTAAAAATAGGTTTGTATATTTGAAGCTGAATTTTTTTAATGTATAGGAAGTTTTTTGTGATGGTGTAATAAATTTTATAAAGCCATGAATTGTAAAGAGACTTATTAAAGAGATTGTAAAGAGACTTATTAAAGAGATTGTAAAGAAACTTATTAAAGAGATTTTAAAGAGACTTAATAAAGAGATTTTAAAGAGACTTAATAAAGAGATTGTAAAGAGACTTAATAAAGAGATTGTAAAGAGACTTAATAAAGAGATTGTAAAGAGACTTATTAAAGGGATTGTAAAGAGACTTATTAAAGAGATTGTAAAGAGACTTATTAAAGGGATTGTAAAGAGACTTATTAAAGAGATTGTAAAGAGACTTATTAAAGAGATTGTAAAGAGACTTATTAAAGGGATTGTAAAGAGACTTATTAGAGGAGTTGTAAAGAGACTTATTAAAGAGATTGTAAAGAGACTTATTAAAGGGATTGTAAAGAGACTTATTGAAGAGATTGTAAAGAGACTTATTAAAGGAATTGTAAAGAGGTTTTCTGTGTATCAAGAACCCTGATAGCATCAATTTGCGCCATTCCGATTTCCAATCAGATGTCTGTGGTTTTTGCAATACGACTAAAAATAAGTGTTTGATAATGTCATGACCACCAAAAGCAAATGGCACCTTGTAAGAAACCAACGGTCTAACCAACGGTGTAGCCAACTATTTGGATGGATGCAAAACTTGATTTCATTGCAATTGAAATGGTAATCGCAATCTCTTCGTAACATGTTCATACCGCTTCACCGACTTTCAATAAAGGAAGTAGTTGTCGACTACTTTTAAAGACCCAGTTGAAAAATGAAACTGCATTAAATCTATTCAGTCGTCGACATCACCTATGGCTTGTCAAAATGTAAATTCGGCTTCTAGTTCGTTTGTGATTAAATACCAAAAAGACGTTAGTCTGAGTAATGATGCCATCGTATTGGTTGTATCTGTTGGGGGAATTGAAAGAACTAACTATAAATTTGGATCAACACTAGAGGGCCTACTTAAGGCTAATGCCGCTGCCCTGGCAAAATGTCTTTGTACCCTGCATGGCTTTACCCGTCTGCATTAGCCAACATGGTGCAGAAAGAAAAGTAGAGCGTAAAACTCCTATTTTTTTTAATAGAGCCAATCTTTAACGCTTGCTTGACAAACATAATGAGACGTATCCTATATTGCAAACAGTCAATTGAAGAAATAAAAAGATGGCCATGGTTCACTTTATACAAATAACTGAGAAGAATTTGTAAACGACCTTTTTTATACAAAGACCAGGGAGATTGCCCGCTTCGTGCGTGTATTCATGATGAACTTCAAAGAGGAAATATTTGTTACGTGCATGCGTGTTGATTGGTGAAAATTGAAAATCACAAAATGGTGAATACTTCGTCCCTATATATACTGTATTTCCAATACAGTTTCTCTATATTAAACGGGAGATAACTCCACTTTTATCGAATGTCAAATTTGAACTAATCAAGACCACAATTAACTTTGTTAGCGACACATTACGGACCCTTTTCAGTGTTTTTGTTTTTTTATGAACGCGCTACTTGTTACGTAAGATTAAAAATATCGATTTTCGATAGTTAAAAACGAGAGTAAAAGTTGTATTGTAGTGGACTTCTCCAAAGTGAAGTACCATCAGATGTTTCTGTATTAATGTTGTAATGTTAACCTTAGCGTATCACACATATCTTTACTGTAGCCTTTCAACAAGATTCTAAGAGATCCTCATATTCAGAAACTGAAAAATTATTGTACCCTTGCGCAATCAGAAAATATTCCCACACAAATTAGGCTCGAGTATACCTCTTGTCACCAGCGTCCCAATACCCCCAGGGGATTATTAATGGTACATAATCCAAGTGTGAGAATTGGTAATAGAAGGATAGATATTTAGAGAGCCCTTGTAGTGTATGATAAAACTGACAAGGGGCTTTGTTGTAAACAGTAATTAATAGGTATAGCGATGACCTCTACTATTGTCATTACTAGTTCCGGTTCACCGCGCCTGTCATTACGACCCCTGGTGTTCTATGAGGGTATGATGGGAACATTCTGGGCGTTATTTATAAGGGGTATCTGCAGTGACCATCTCAAGTCGAAGGTTAGGATTGGACACTTGGTACCCAGCACAAGTATTCTTTTAAAGATGGGTTTCCTTATTTTTTAGTGTCAAATTAAGCAAACTATTTGATTAATTGGTGTTTCTAATGAATTATCATGTATTCTTAATCATATCATTATGTTCTTATTGCATATAATTAAGAGTTTTAACCAATCATAAATGTCCATGTATGTACATTTGACGTCTGGATAAACAAAAAAAAAGAAGAATTTTTGACCTTTCTTGATCGGTCACTCATTGGAATTCTGCTGGTAATTCTCTTCTAATTTAGCTAATTATGAATTAATTATGGACATGTTGGAAATAAACCGGTCTAGCATTTAAAAAAATGATTGGTGGCAAAATAGGTACGTCTACAATCAAAATGATATCGTCAGTATGAAAAATAATCTATAAGCAAAGTGGTGGGTGAAAGAAAATGTTATAATTCTAAAAATCAAAATGGCGTCTTGACTATAAAAATAATTTCATATAGAACATTTTATTATCGTCAAATATCTCTTAAAATCTTCAAACCTCGACTAGATTCAATATTTACCTTTCTCCGTATTCAATTTATGGCTTGACCTTTACATAAAAGAGGTCAAAGTATAATAAAAGTCCCGGTAAATTTATCAGTATATGACTATATAGCCATCTTCCCGCTGCCATAGTTTTAATTGGTGCGACTAGTATCAAACCAAATCTATCGTGTATTTAAATTGTCTTTTGAACATTTTGATAAGCAAACAGACACACTGTAGGTATTTGACAATATTTGTCTGCTGTCTATTATATTGTTTGCGACTTCATTGAGTCATTACAGACACCACATGATTTATATTGCCAATTACCCAGTAACTTGATGACTAAATAATATTTTTTACTGTCCATGTTTGTTGTTTGGTAATAATTTGAGTCATTAGAAGCACCACATACAAGAGGTAGCGTTGTTTGTGAAATATTTGAGTACTTAGGGAAACCACTTATGTTATACGGAACATCTTAAAAAAAAAAAATTACTTAGATATTTCGTTTTCTGATTTTATGGACATTTTGTACGGATTACTACAGTCAAATGCATACCGTACAAATTGCAACTCAAAAGAAATGAAGCGAAATTTGGAATATGTATTATATAATAATTCACCATTTAGAGAAAAAACCGAAAAACTTTGGCATAACGAAGATGATAAAATACATTAGAAGCCCATTACAAGTAAGATGAAACGTCACCATGTTTGTTTTATATTGTTTAGTACTTACTTCAATAGGTATTCTTTATCGCGACCCTTTCCTCGCGGCCAAATAATGCTGAGTAGGTCATCAGCCATTTTGAAAATAACGTACATATAGGGTCGTGGAAGGCTGTTTCTCCAAACGCCCACATCCTAAAAATGTGAAAGGGCTCAAGTCGTTTAGATATTTTCCAATCGATCGAATTTAAAGGTGTTTTTCGAGACTGATATCAATGGTTGGGTCCTCCAATTTTACCAGATTATGACGTCACTTTCGCAAATACCATTAAACCTTAATTGCATTTGCGATAGGTACGCCAAACCAATTAGATACCTCTAAAAATCCGAACCAATTTGCTATATAAATAGAGCAAATAATTAAGATACACAAGAATCGAAGCTACCCTGAAAAGCAAAAATGTTAAAAAACATAACTTGAAACGAAAATTCTGCCAAAAAGAGGTTACTAAGATGATTTTTCCCGCTTCTGTGGATGAGTGTGGATCTAGTCATGACGTCATCATGAACATGCACCAGACTCACAATCACCCATTTATCGGTTAACCTCTGCCAGGAATGCTGCTGTTTACCACGGCACCAATTATTCCGGGTGCCGAGATAGCATCGGGTATCCACTGTTCTTGTTTAACCCCTAACAGATTGTATTTGGGTAGAATTCGGTTTGTTTTTGCTGTATTGAGTGATTTGCGGTGAGATGTAAAGTTTGTATTTTTCATTGAAAGTTTCTTCCTTGTAAAACTACGAAAAGTTGTCCTGTATTTAGTTCTTTGTTACTGTCGAAAGTTTGAGGTTCTGTTGAAGATAAACTTGGTCTATTTCATATGTTCGTTTGTTTGTGATATGTATTTCATTCCCACCGTTATTTTACATGTAGAGATATTTTTATTTCTTATGTCCAATAAATCATAGCTTTGTAACTTGTTATGGTTCAAAATGGTGTATTTTAGTCCAAAATGTCTTCTTCGTAGTGAGAAAATCTGACATTTTTGTCGTGTTGAAAATCTTGTTCAAAGTTTAGGATATTTACAAATGTGAACACTGTACTCGATCTGTCAAAGTTCAGCAGTCAAATCAACCTATTTTTGTTCACTGTCATAATGTTCACACTGGTGAGAGAGTCCTTAGTTTCCCCACGTAAATTAAATCACTTCATATCCACTGTACACAGAACCATCTTGACTTGTTCATTTCAGAAATGTGAACACTGCTCTGCTTGTAAAACTATCAAAAGACAGGGTGTTCATGTGTGGGAACGCATCCTTCGTTCACTGTAACCCAGACCAGTTTACAGAATCATCTGAAGTTGTTCATATCAGAAATGTGAACACTGTATTCGACAGCAGTCATAAAGTTGTTCAGATTTAAACTTGTTCATTGTAGATGATGTTCAGGTCTGTAGTTGTTCAGATTCATAATAAGTAAAGGTATAGGATGGAGGTGTGAACGAGTCCTGAGTCTCACCTTGACTGACAAGTACAGTAGAAAAGTATGTATCATCTCGCCATCTGTCTAACTTGTCAGCTTCTAGCATCCTTTTTTAGGCCATTATACACATATTTCATAATTTTACTATGGCTCTAGGCCCTGAATGTGAATGCCCTTGGTATTAATCATATGTATTGTTGTTGCATTCAACGGCAGCGATCTCCGTTCTGGTCTTGTGTCCGATGAACATTCTTTGCATTCAACCGTAGCGATCTCTGTTCCGGTTCTCTGTCGGATGTATAGTCGTTGCATTCAACCGTAGCTATCTCCGTTCCGTCTCTGTGTCGGATGTATAATCGTTGCATTCAATAGATCTTCATTACGGTTCTGTGTCGAAACTGAGTTCACAGCGGTGAACGACCGATATTCCACGAAACTTGTCAACCAACACAATATGGCAAAAAATCAAAATTTATTCCGAGTCAGAGACTAGACTTTCAAACACCGAACGAGGTTTGAACCTACAACCACCCTTTGATCAACGTCATGTAAGAGTCCAACTCTCTAGACGACAGTGCTACAGCCGTCCACAAAATATCATTAACCTTCCAGCAGCATCACTAAACTCAAACTAACATCATTCATAATAGAATTCAGAAACTCCATCACCGAAGCAGAATCGTCAAGTAACGGGATTCTAATCCAAAACAAGTTATATTTCTAAACCGCAA